GGCACATTTGGGCACCCTTACTAAATGGCGTTTGACTTCTAAATACTTCTGAGGTGACTCTGAGATTCAATGGAAATTGGTTTGAGATCAACAGTCTTTTGTTACAATTTTCCAAGTAAGATTTATAATCCTAACTACAGTGCCCTCAATATCTAGCAGCTGGTAACTATGCTTAGAGATAGTCTAAGAATTTCTATATTATTGTATGCAGGAATTATACATCTTTCCACTTAGGAGTACTCGTAACAGAAAGAAATGCTTAAGATTTACTCACTGCTTTCAAAATATTTAGTCATGATTTTTGGCTTTCTTTCGATCTCTAAATTCTTCAACTAGTACAGGTGCGTTTTCTTGAATTGCATTTTTGTTAAGTGCCTTTGAGTCCGTTCCGACCTCACAGTGCCCCTGCATAGGGTTTCTGAAGAAAGACTGGTGGGTTTGAACTGCCAACCTTTTGGTTCAAACTGAGCTTGTGGTCTAGTGCTTGTCCTACAGCACCACGCTAGGACTCTAGTGTTCTCAAAATTTCTGTTTTCAATTTTGCTTTAAATGATTAATGTTAGTCACATTCAAGAGCCTTTTTCCATCTTAAACATTCTCCTGTATTTACGTATCTCAGGGAGCATCTTCTGTTCTAGTCTCCATTACAGGATCAATCCTGCCATGTTTATTATCTGCCTGAGTTTACCAAGATTGTTTGACATGAATGTTATCTTAAACCATGTTCTGTGCCTGTCTGGTGGGATAATTTATAAATCTAACATCCATGTTCTTGTTTCTAGAGATTGGTGCTAACTCATTAACTCATTAACATCCAGTATGAGAATAACTTTTACTTGAATTTATACATGGAGCTGTGTCATGCCCTGTCAACCTCAAAAGAGATTCTGTTTTCAATCATCATCCATCTTGCTGATCTATCAGGCCATAAATCATTAACTTTTCAGCTTTAGAAGCCTCAGAGTTACTACTAATGCACTCACTGGTAGTATGAGCTGAATGTAATTCTAAGTGTGTTTTTTCTTTATTCACTAGTGGATTGGGATGGGAGGCAGACATGAACAATGTGGCATTTCCCTCATTGTCCCATGCTTGCCAGCTGAGACAAGAACAAGTAAAAGAATGATCTATTTTCTGTTCTGAAATGATAATTCCAGTAATACTTCCCATTTTGTCCAGAATTTTAGTTTTCAAAGTTTTAAACACACTTTATATTATTTACTTTACTCTTGAAATTACTTGAGGCTCTTTTGTAGATCCAGAGAAGTCTAGTGATTTTTATGGTCGTGGTGGTGCTAGTGGTGGTTGTGTGCTGTTGAGTCAGCTCCAACTCATAGCAACCCTGGATAGGGTTTCTGAGGCTGTAAATTTTTAGGGGAGCAGAATGCCTCATCTCTCTTCTGTAGAGTGGCTGATAGAGTCAAACTTCTGACCTTGCAATTAGCAGCCTGGCTCATAATCAGTCCACTATACTACCAGGTCATACTGAAGGGCAAAGCCAGATTTTAAAACAGTGTATTCATATTCCAAGTCTATTATATTCATTACAGTCCTTTAAAATCTTTTATCTGTTCTGTATTTATTCTTCTTAGTTAAATCTAGATTATTCTGTAGCACATGTTAAAGCCAAATAATGTCAGATGTTAAATCTGTACTTGGTTTTGCCGTAACAAGATATTTGTTATCCTATATTCCTAAATATTTTTTCTCAATTTATACTTTTTCACCTTTAGAACTGACAGCTAACAGTGATGAACTTACTAATTAGATTAAGTGTAAGCTATATTGCAGTCCCTCTTTTTAGAGAACTTTCTTCTTGATGATAGGCAGGGGTACCAAGATCATACAAGTCTTCTCAGTAGTGATGATCTAGTTACTGGTGTTTGATTCTGCCTGATTCATTCTCTGTATATCAAGATGTAGACACTTGTAGCACCCATGTTATCTTTGGTAGACAGAGTAATTTACTATGGCCCTGAGCAGTCTGGGTAAGATGTGAGGATGTACACAATATTTAATGCCTACTAATGGAACTTCAAATGTAGTAGAGAATGCTGAATTCTCTCCCAGGATTCGCTTCTGCTAATCTCACAATCATGTCACTGGTTAAAATGGGTTTAGAATGGAGAATATGTTTCGCTCAGCACAATCAGAAAAGTAAATGAATTGTCCTATTTATATTAAGGAGTATGCTACTAGAAATAATAATCTATAAAACTTGATAGCATGCCATATGTCAACTGACAGAGTAAGGAAACAGCACATTAAAACTAGGCAACCCTTGGGAGTATATTAAAATAGGGCATCAGTACAGCATCAAGCACTTTCCAATTTAAATGCCTACAAGGCAAGAAAAGCATATAATCTTCAATATAGCCATGAAGTCTGAGCCTGCCATCAACATCCCAGCTGGCAGACTGAGCAGTTTCATCACCTAACCAATAAGTTACACTAGCAGAGTAAGGGCATCGACAATGAGAACTGGGAATGAAACCAATTTTATCTGAAATGAAGTTATCACCTTTACATTAAAATTGTTGGGTTACACAAGTGTGAAGAATATATGCCAAAACTGCCATTATATATTGAGTTTACATAGGAGAAAATACACAATAAGAAGCCAAGAGAAAAGGCAAATTAACCATACACACACACACAAAGTTGACTAACCAAAACTTTTAATAACTCCCTGAGATGGGCAGAAGTCATGTGGAAAGTTATGGTATATTCCAATCAGAAATTAATGGTTTTTTGTTATGTATTCAGGGCAATATTAATTTATGAAACAGATAGAACCAGCTGTAATATCAAACAGTTGGCGGCCATCGCAGAACAACCTTCAGAGTACACTAAGTATACTATGACCCTATTTAAAAAAAAAAAACACAACACATTACGACACTGGTGGGTTTTCACTGATAACCTATGAATAGACAGATACACAAAGTAAGTAGCAGCAAATTTCCAGATGAAGAGTAAAAACATTTATTTTTTATCAAGCATATTCAGCTTCATCTGAAAAACTCAAATTCAAAATAACAGTTACAGATGTTGCCTTACTTCACTCTTTGTACAGGCAGGGTAGCCTAAGGCATATAAAAAATTAACTCATTTGACAATGAGAAGTCAGGAGGTTGGTGACAGAATAATCTCATGACAAACAAATCAGTTCAATTCAAGAAGTTATTAATGAAAAAATTCTTACTACACTCAAAGTCAGTATAAGAAACATATACTGACTACAACAGCTAAATATCTAATGTAGCTGATATCTAAATATCTAAAATATCAAATGAATTCATTATGAGTCGGTTCACTCACAAGTCAGTTCTAGAGTTAGGAAATAAATATAAGATTAAAATCAGACTTCAGAATTCAGTAAGAAATGAATTATTACTAATGCTTATAATATGCTATTCAGACAGGGGAACCAAGTACCTGCTGTGCTTGAACAAAGAACTAAGAAACAGAAAACAGGACAAAATCTTTGCCCTCAAAAGAGCTAACATAGCAGATATAGACAAACAACTGAAGCCTATGGTTAGCACCATCATGAAGACGGAAAAGAAGAATCACTAGAGTTCATACTCATAACAGTTAAAGCCTTAGAAGACTGAGAAGATATATCAAGTCTAGAAAGAAGTTCCTGGGCGTTCTCGAAACCAGTGGCAGCATTAGACAAAGAGGGAGCTGTGGAACTCTGCCCCTAGATTTTCTGGTATGTTTCACTGGGAAAATGGCTGCACCATTAACCAAAATTGCCCTAAGAGGACAAAGATAATAAATACTCTATCTAGATTGAAATGTTAAGTAGGCATTTGCAATTACCAGGACTAAATTTTGGATCAGAAATATAACACAAAACATACTGAGAAAACAGCAGCTCTGCCTACAGAAGAGCCTGAAGCATTCTGAGGATAAAATTTGAGTGATCACATAGACAGCAAGTACATTTTAGTAAGAGTTATGAGACTGTGCCCACAGCTGGGACAGAAAGAGAACACCTTCTAGGGAAAAGACACTGTCTAGGAAAGGCTGCTCAGCGGTGCAAGTGTTGCAGAGATAGAAAAGGTTAAGAGATCCAGACCGTGTAAAAACCATTTGATTGGATAGCTGGAGGCTCACTGCTGACTTGCAAAAGAAAATTTTCACCAGAGTGCTAAGCAAAACCTGACTGCAGGTACTAACCAGTGAATGAGGAGGATGTGAGGACAAAGGATAGGGATTTCTCTAAGAAGTCAGTCTGACAGTGAGGAAGGTGGAGAAACCAGCAGGTTCAGAGAAAGTGTTTTGCATTGGAGGATACAAAAGCATATTTATAAGTCACAACAACAACAAAAACATCATACGATTCTTTATACAATTTTATATTTGATAACAGGCAAAAAATTATTTTAACTCTTTCTCAAAAACATTTTCTGAAATAAAAATTTATATTTAAATTATATGTATCTTATCATTTAAACATAACATAAACCTAAAAACACTAGTATTTTATGATCAATTATTTCTAAAGAACAGTACAAGTTTTTTGTTATTGGACAACGTCAGATTTTATTTTGTCTCTAGTCTATCATGAGAATTTAGATTTTATTAACAATTGCTATTTTCGTTCCAGAAAGATTACTCTGATATAAAGGATTACACTGAAGTAACTAACTGCATATGTCTCCTTCCCCAGCTCTCCTACCCTAAAGACAAAGTATCTTCAGGGGAGTTGATATTACAGATAATATTTTTTAAAGTTGAAAAAGAGAAAAATTAGAAATAGTATTCCATTATTATTAAGTTCTTAAAGATCTAAATTGTTCTTCACAACTGTTTTTCATGATAAAACATGCTTATTTATTTATTATATACACATGCTTACATATAAATTTTCTGGCTAAAACACATGCAACTAACAGAAAAACAATTAAACCAAGCTAACAACCCTAAGAATGCCCTTTAAAATAAGGCACTCAGGTTTCGAAATAGGATCTGTCCACCAAATTAAATATTTCAAAGAAACCTTTTATTAAGCACAAACAACATTTTTAATACATTATCAATACAAATAGGAAAATGTCTCTTAATGAATATGATATATCAAAGATCTGAAGGGTTTTCTCCATATTAACACAATAAAAATAATACATTTTGAAGAAAACTTATGAAGCAAAATTTTGAGGACACTATTGTCTACTGATAACAGTTTAACTACAGCCTAAATTTTCTACATCACTGGGGGAGGAAGGGCAAGTTGTTTTTATTTTTTTTTTCTATAGAGAGCTCCTAAACTTTTGTTAGCACCATTCAAAGCTTATTATCAGTTTTTCATCTACAAACTGTTAGGTCAGATAAAGCTTTAAAGCAAGTTTTCAGTGCAATGTTTATAGTTCCTTCTTTTAAGATACTTGGAGTCTAAGGTCTCAAAGCATGTTAATTATGCCCTCATAGTTTAGAAGGTGTTAACATGTAGAGAGAAATGTGTAACAGGAAGAAATGAGGCTTATCTTGGCTATGAAATGCAGCTGACTGTATTGTGTCTAATGCTGTCGTTTGCCAGCCACATGTGGGAGTATGAACTGCAGGTCTGTGGGGTGGTGGCAGTTATTAGCTCTCGGTGGTCACCATTTCAGGATGTCTGAGTTGCTGTCTTTTGAGACTAACGAGTTTCATCCTGTCTCTGATGTGTTCTGCAGTAGAAGCCATGTCACTTGGACTCCCAAAATACTGTTCAGTTCTAAAAGCAAAACAAACAAAAAGTCCCGATCAGATAAAATACAAATCCTTTGAATATAGCAAATGAAAAGGAAGTAAGCCACCATAAAATAACTATCTATGTGAAATGGCCTTTGAGTATAAATTAGTTCATTCTCAGCGCATCATGTTTATCTTTGAGAAGTAGTAATTCTGTAAGAAAAACATTTTTTTAAAGGCATAAAATATGGTAAGACATGTTGAGAAAAAGACATCAGTGGTGCAAGTGTGGTATATAATCTGAAGTTACAATAATCTCAATAATCCAACAATGTAACACTGAAGATATTCTACTTAATTTTAGGTCCATAAGCATTCACCAACATAAAATGTGTACATGTGCTTTAACTACACCAAGCACACAACTATCTCATATAGCCATCAAGTGAGTAAAGCACTCTTTCAATGTTAAGGCAGCATTTGGGACAGTAATAGATAAAATCATAATTTTATCCTACTTGCAAAGATACTTAAGTCAGTCCAAGTCATAGATTTGTTAGAGCTAAAAGATTTCTTGGAAACTGTTTAGTTGTCTTATTTTTTTAGATCAGAAATAAAAATTTAGGAAGCTAAATGATCAAATAGTAGAAAAAACAGGATTTAAATCTGGTCTTCAAACAGTGAATCCACAGGGACCACCTTATTTATTTTATTTTACCAGAAGAATTCATAAAAGATATATATACAAATATACATATGGATAACCTTATAAAATATAAATAATACTGTCAGACAAGTTTCACACAAAATAAACAGAGTGGTATCTTGGCGCTAACACTCACAGGCTGTGAAAGTCTAAACACCTTATCAAATGTTCCTGAGCCTCAACTTCTTTATTTATAAAGTAATAAAAAATAACACTTCAAAAGAAGCTGAAGTGTTTAACCAAGTGTTTGGCATTTGTCATGGATTCATTAGATATCAGTCCCCTTTTCATTTCCTGTCCTAAAGCCTAAGGAGATACTAAGTCATAGTCCCGGCTATGACACCCAGTGGTGCTGTCTAATCAATGATCTTTCTTCTACTACAAAACTGTTTAAAGATGAAAGTTATCCAATGTCAGCAAGCACTAACTGTTACTAATACTAACAGCTAGGTTTGGATTTCTTGTCATTTTAAACCAATTTATTGTAGGAATTGAAAATGTGGACCAAAGCTAATTTACATGGCTTTTTAAAGCAATACAGACTTTCCTCTCTTGATGATTTCATGTTAAGACCTAACAAGACTGTTAGAAGAACTTGCACCATACCCATCAGGATAAACTACAGGAACAGTTAATCTATCCAAAAGTGATTTCCCAACTGCTTCAATTTCATCAAATTGCTCCTCATCATTAATAGCTTCAGGCTCTTCTGGACAATCTTGCAAAATCTGTAACAAATAATAGGGCAACGTCAATCAAGAGATATGGAAAGGGAATCAAGTTCTTACAAATTCAGTAGATTGAAGGTGCTATTTTGTTTTTAGCATCTTCAAGAATACTACTGTCTAAGAGGGAGCACAATGGGCTCAAGAAATTTAAACACTAAAATCAAACATATGATTTCCACTAACAGCATAAAACTGGAGAAGGCAAAGGCCTAGAGTGATTTCTAAGAAAAAACAATACTAGATGACAATCTAGAAAGTAAGCTCAACTTGAGTTTAAGATGTATTCTTTCATTCATTAAACATCCTTTATAAACATTATGTGTTGATTCAATAGCTTGGGATACAAATGATACAGTTCCTGTCTTCAAGGAGCTTACAGACTTTTAAAAACACAAAAGAAATAACTGAAAATTATTTCAGAATACAAATACATTAACAGATGTGACACCCTAGCTAGATATTTCGACAGTTACTTTAAACTTACAAACTTGAATTACTAATGTAATCAAGTTATAATACAAATAATAAGACACTCACTCTACAGAACTTGATGAAAGACTGTTCTTTTTCCTTCCCTATTACTACTTAAAGCTATCCATAATAAAGATAGAATTGCAAAAGGAAGGGGAAAAAAAGTATTATTTATTTTGATACCTTTTTTTGCATTACACTTTATTAACAACTCAATCATATTTATTAAATGGACAGTTTTACTTATATTTAAAATTTAAGATTAATTTAGATATGCTCCCAATGATAATACATAATTTGCTTTTAGTTGTGGTTATATTGATAATTATTGAAACAGAATATAATCGAAACAAAAATCACACCATGTAAAAAAAGTTTGCATAGCATAATAATCTTAAGTCAAATTGATTATTTGTTGTTAAGTGCTGTCAAGTTGGTTCTAACTCAAAGCGACCCAATATAGGGTTTCTGAGGAGTGGCTGGTGCATTTGAACTACATACCTTGCAGTTAATAGCTTCAGTGCTTACCTTATATAATATGCTTATAATTTTAAAAAGTCCATATAGCAGAAAAAAGTAGAAACATTGATTTTGTGTTTAAAATTCTCAACCATATCACGTCTTACATGATCTGTTAAAAACTTCTGGAGTTTAAAGCGTCCTTGTAGATAGATACATTTAAAAAAATTTTAGCAACCTAAAAGTTACTAGTCATGTTAGGATTCCTTCTTGGACAGCCCGTGTGACTAGAATGAAGTGGAAGTGGGACTTCTGCCAATGTCCTGCAGCCTCACACTGTACTGAATACACAAGTGTGCTCACTTTGTGAGAATTCATTGAGCAGAGCACTTATGATCGGAATACTTTTCTGTGTGAATGTTATACGTCAATAAAAAGTGTTCACTCTAAATAAATAAATAAAGGAACACATCAACAATTTGTATACTTCCACTCATCTTCATGAGGCTCATTTTAGACCACAACACCGATCCACAGAGCTCAGCTCACAAAGATTTAACTATGCACATTCCTCAACAGATGCACAATAAAACACAGACTACTCAGTTTCTGAGGTTCACTGCAACCTCTGCTGTGTTCTGCGGATCAGGTTATCGTGTTTACAACTTAGGTTTATAAACTCTTCAATTACACTGAACATCTCCAAAATGTAAGCTTTCGTCTTAAGGGATCACAGCAAGGTTAACTACAAGATAAAGCTCCTATTCAGAATGGAAATATAAAGCTTGGACTCTTCACTGCACAGATTAATAAAAAGGATCTATTGAAAACTTATCCCAGTGACATTGCACATATTTCATTTTACATACTGGGACTGATGGCATGAATTTATTTACTAGTAAATTTTGAAATGAATATTTAATGAAAGTACATGAAAAAGGTTTTATTTTTATCTTTATTTTAGTTGCACTATCTCTAACATTCCAAAAATCAAAACTGCCCTTTTTCAAACTTTGTGACATTGAGTACTAGTTGCTGAAGCATCATTTACTCTCCTGACACAATGAAAGACACAAAAGTCCTGAGACCCTGCCGCAAACTGAGCACATGGTGGCACCAGGCTGAGTGAAGGGAAAGGGATGTACAAAGACTGCTGAATGCTCCTGGACTCCTCCCACCATGGTACTCCAACACTGCTGTCAGGTATTAAGAGGACTGGATTTGAACAACTCAAGACAATAGATTACACCTAAACCAGCTTTGAATAATGAGAGTAAGATAAATTAGGGGGAAAAAACAGATTAACAATCACATTACTAAAATCAGTACCAATATTACAGCAGAGTATCTTTTTAGACTTCTAATTGTTTGGTGTCATTGAGTAGATTCCGACTTACAGTGACCCTGTACAGGGATGCCCAGGATGTAAATCTTGACTGGAGCAGAAAGTCTCATCTTTCTCCTACAGAGTAGGTGGAGTATTTGAACTGAGCCCCCGTGGTTTGCAGTCCACTATGTATCCAATAGCACCACCAGCACTAACCATTTTTATACTAATACAGTAAATAGTACGAAAATTACATTAGGAAAAACCACACACCTTTTCTGCATTTGAGTGAAATGCAATAGCCATTTCCAATCTATGTACTCTTTCTTCAGATGCTATCGTGAACTGTTTCCATACTCTGTTCAGTCGAGGAAGCGTATCCCCAGATGATCGAGATGTGCAGCGCAAAGACTGGCATAACACAACTGTGGCCTGTAACAACTGTCTTCCATAGTCATACGTGCTCTAAAAAGAGAGAATATAAAATGAAATTACAAGACAATAATTCAGAAGAGAAGGATAGGAAAGTAATGGAGAACTGTGTTTGCAATTAAGTAACACTAGAAATGAATATTACTACATATTATCTGTAGGCGAAATAATGAAAAGGAAGCAAAGATTCTTTCTTGCTTCCTCTTCTTACTACGTTTTGTCCATTTCAGTCTTCTCAATTCCACTGGCCAAGAATACCTTCTTACTAAATAAAGCAAAAACCAACCAAACAATAACAAAGAGAACATTGCCACTGAGTCGGTTCCAACTCACAGCACACTACTGGATAGAGTGGAACTGCCCCATAGCACTGCCAAGACTGTCATCTTTATGGACACTAACTGCCTCATCTTCCTCACCAGGAGTGGCTGCTTAGTTCAAACCAGCAGCCAAGAGATTAGCCACTGCGCCACCAGGGCTCCTTCAATTAATAAAACACATAGATAAAATTAGGTGCTATGTAATCCATGTAGGAGACCACAACTGTTACACTGTGAGCTTAATTATTAGAGAAAATAAATTAAGATAGTTTTCACACCACAAAAACAATTTTGATCTATATTTATACTAACGCTGGTGAGAGGCAGAAAGTGGGGTTTTTATTTTAACTGCTATTAACACATATTTCACATGGACTTTTGTGAAAGAGCAGGTGGGTAGTCCTAAATATTCAAGAATATTAAACATAACTCAGAGGGAGCATACAGAACCTGTATTTAGGAAAACGCAAATGCTCACGTTTATACAGTGTACTTTTGATACACTGGTGTTGACATTGTCTTTCTTCTGTATTATTTCTGGAATAACAAAGCTAACCTACTTGGACCTGAAGGGTTAAGTTACATTACAGTCATGCAGAAAGCTATTTAAACACAGAGCTTGTAGAAAAGGAAGACAACCAGTTCTGCACCTGTGCAACATCAACAAATTTTCTGTGCTTTTCCAGTAAAACTTTTGTTTCCTGAGCATCGTCGCCCAATCTGACGTGGGTCTTCAGCAGAGCATCCAGAAGTTCGCTTAGCCACTCTACTGCCTAAACGAAAATAAGTAACAGTGATGCCGGACTCATAACTCTTTACTTAGCATATCAAACATTCTATTTATAAAAGGAAAGATTAGTATCATATGATTAATTACTCCATTAATTGCAACCTAGTTCTTCATAGTTTATTTCATTCAGTGAACCAAGCTACATGAATTAATACCCTTCTCCTCCCCTCAAATATATTTTTTAAATTTAAAGACATACTAAGAGAAGCATTCAAACCATCACATGGTTGATATTAACAGAAGACTATGTGTTTCTCTAAGATAGATCTGTTGCTGATCTCCTTATGGATTTTTTGTACTATATAAAATCATAAACTTCCTCTATATCAAGCTGAAATGACATTATCTGATGCCAGCTGCACAAAGATATCAAATTGTTCATGTGGCATTGAAAGGACCCCTTGTAAGTTAAAAAGCAATGTGCTACACCAGTCTTTGAACTGAGATGCAACTGAACACAAAGTTAACCACCAATCTCAACAGATTTTAATAGGAATAGAAATCAAACTGTACCAATAAGCTCATTGGAAATGCAAACATTTATGATTTCAGCAGAACTAGAATTTGACTTAGTGGATTTATTTTCTCTATAATCATGGGGGGGAAATGCCTTTTGTTCATAGTAAAATGAAATTACTGTCTTATAAAAGGACAACTACATAATGTGGATGACTGGTACTTACCTGGGCGGCATCTTCCTCACATTTAAATAACTGTACCATCTGAAGCATCTTTAACCTTCGTACATCTACCATGTCTTCACATCTAAGACAGCCAAACATAAATTTAGGACATTATTTCAGTTTTGTTCATAAGTCTTATATCTAGTATTCACATATAGGGTCATACTATACTGTATACTAAATACTTAGTTCCAACACTATGGATACTGCAACTATGTTGAATTGTAGGAATCTTAAGAATATTAAGGAGATCTAGATCTAGATCTATGCTATATTAAAACCTCAAAATACCTGAAAGATACTGAACCACAAACTCTCTTGAGGATAACATGGATTCTGAAAAATATTGAAGCAAAGTATGAACACAGTAGTATAACTAAACCTCCAAGAAATCTGTTGCCAATATGTATTCAATGAACTTCAAAAATAAAAATGTAAAGTGCCTTAAATAATAATAGGATGACATTCCAAAGAAAATTTTTATTTGATACTTTCCATTATATTATGTTACTCAGAATAATATTTAGTTCTGAATAAAAAATTAAAACTCCACCTATGCTCTTAACGGGAGCAGGGATGGGGGGGTCTCCATTGCTCTCTGGGTAAAGAGAAACAGAACTCAAAATATTCTGTAGTGTCACTGTGACCTGTGTGGATAATATACACATTCAACTTTCAAGGTCACAAGGCTAACTCCATACTGATTAATTTCCTTCACTGCCATGTAATTACATATTATTTAAATGGCAAGGGAAAATCTCACTGCGTCAAATACAAGTTACCCAGAAGGCACTGGGCTTCACTACCATTGATGTTCTTAAAGAAAGGCAGGTAACAATACAGAAGTGGTTATCACAAGGCTAGTTCTTATCAGGATGTCCTCAGTAAGAGCCCATGCATAATGCTAAAGTGTAACTTAGTGTAATTCTACTAGAGACTGAGGGAAAGTGAGGATGTTTTTAAAAATCTGATTTTTTAAAAAAATTATGAAACTTTATGATGATGAAGATAAAATACATATATTCAACACATATTACATGCCATGAAAAATGTGTGGGGGAAAAATAAGACATGGGCTTTACTATTAGGATGCTCATCATATCAGAAGACAGAGTTTTAAATAAACATTGACAATGTCTTAGGATAAATGTTATTATGGAGATATATGAAAGTTTTCAAGGGAGTAGGAAGATGTGCAGAGTCCTGGTGTGGCACCATAGGAAAAGCACTGGACTGCAAATTGCAATGTCATCAGTTGAAACCCACCAATAACTCCTTGGAAACTGTATACAGGGCCACTATGAATCCAAACCAACTCAGAGGCACTTAACAACAACAACAACAAGGAAGAAGCAAATAACTAATTTTCCTTGGAAATTCAAAAAGGCTTCCTAGAAAAAGTACTCCTGAACCTTGAAATAAGAACTCATTAGTCAGAAAATGGGGAAAGCGATACTCATAAGTTATAGATGCATGGAACATGATATATTTAGGAAAATGAAATTAGTTGTGTGGTTTTGTGGAAAAGTTAGATAAGATTATGCAGTATTGGACTGTAAAGGACATCTATTCTTCTTGGATCAACTATCAACATTCACGGCAGCAGTCAAGAGATCAGACGACGTATTGCATTGGGCAAATCTGCTGCACAGGAAATTTTTAAAGTGTTGAAGAGCAAAGATGTCACCTTGAGGACTAAGTTGCGCCTGACCCAAGGCATGGTATTTTCAACAACCTCATATGGATACGAAAGCTGGACAGTGAATAAGGAAGAGCGTAGAAGAATTGATGCCTTTGAATTGTGGTGTTGGAGGAAAATACTAAAAGTGCCATGAGCTGCCAAAAGAACCAACAGATTTGTTTTGGAAGAAGTGAAGCCAGAGTGCTCCTTGGAGGCCAAGATGGCTAAACTTCGTCTCTCATACTTTGGACATGTTGTCAGGAGGGAACAGTTGCTGGAGAAGGATGTCACACTGGGTAAGATGGAGGGTCAGAGAGAAAAAGAAAGACCCCCAACGAGATGGATTGGCCAGGTGGCATCATTGATGATGTCAAGTGTGGCAGCAGTAGTGAGGTTGGCCCAGGATCGGACATTGTTTCGTTCTGCTGTGCATGGGGTTGCTATGAGTGGTTCTGACTCGATGGCACCTAACAACAATTCAGAAACTCCATCTGAGACAAGAAGTCATGGGGGAGATTTTATACAAGGCAGTGACGTGATTAGATCTGTACTTTACATAGATTACTCTCCTGTGCAACAGACTAGAAAGGAGTAAGGCCAAGGCTGAGAAGAGATAAGATCTTGAACAAAGATATGTTCAGAGATAGCAGGACTTGGACATTTGATTAGGTTGTAAAAGATGAGGAGAAGGAAAGATTGAAGCCCGAAGTTTGTAGTAGTTCCTTTGACCTTGATAGGAAGCTACAGGAAAAAAGCAAGTTTTGGAGCAAGATGATGCCAACTGGACATACCGTACCTTAAGAGTGTATATGGTATCCAGGTGAAGATACTCAGCAGGCAACTGAGATTGTAAATCTACAGCATAGGACAGTGGTCTAGGGAAGAGCCCTAACTATTAAATTATGGTCTTCAAAAAATATTAAAGCAGTAAGATTATTCAGGAAAAACATATAATTAAGAGTGAGAAAACAATCTGGTCTTAAAACAAACCCTGGAAGTCTCACACTGGCTAAATGACAAGACACCAGTGAGAAAAAGTAGAGGGGCGGAGGAAGTGCCAAGAGTGAGATTATGGGGGTGTTTTCCTGGAAGACAAGGTTGCCAGGGCGTTTTAACAAGAAAGTCAGTCACTCGTGTCCAAACAGAATGGTTGAGCAAGATCCGGACTAGAAGTATTCACTGGATTTTGAGTGAGGTCAAGCACTGATTATATTTGGCGATTTCAAAGTCACTCTGAAGACATTAGAAAGTAAATGCTGACATAAAAAAGTGACATCCTGAGGGACAAAGAAGTTAGATTGAAGGTGGTTGAAAAATGTACAAGAAGGAGTGAGGAAGCAGCATAAATGTAGATTAACCTTCATTTGACTTGGCTGTGAGGAAGGAAACTCTGAGGTTAGAAAAAGCAAAAAAAAGACGTGGGGGTTGTAAAGAAAGCTGTATGCTTTTTGTATGGCATTCTTTTTCTCTTTAAATACGAGACACTTAAGCATTAGAGTGAAGGAAGGAATCAGCAAAGAGACTGGGAGTTGATAGAGTAAAGAGCCAGGAGAGCCATTGTATGATTGGCTTTGATGAAAGGAGAGCTAGATCACCCTAGGAGATAAGAATTCATAAAAAAAAAAATGGATACTTGTTTGCAGGGATGAGAACACGATACAGAAGAAATGTCTGCCTGATGAATATGTTTTCTGTAATTTAAGGTAGGAGTTTCTGCCAAGTTTTATTGATGGCTTTACAATTTCTAAGTGTGCAAAAGTTTCATACAACCATGCTAGAGTAAGCATACATGCATAGACGATTTAAATTCTTCACTTTGCAAAATTCTGCAGTTGCTACTACAAATTGAAGAGTCCCTGGATGATGCAAAAAAGTAATGTGGTTGCTACTAACCAAAAGGTTAAGGGTTCATATCTACCTAGAGGCACCTGAAAAGAAAGACATGTCAAACTACGGTCAGAAGATCAGCCATTGAAAACAATATGGAATACAGTTCTACTGCCACACATGTGGAGTTACCATGAACTGAAATCTACTCAGTGGCAACAAGTTGGGGTTTTTTTAAACTGTAAGTTGACTTTTTAAAAATCCTTTAAATTCCAGGGTTTTGGCTTTTATTTTATTTTTTTT